ATGCAGAACCGCATCATTAGGCAGGGCTGAACAAGAACCTGTTCAGACACCTGCAAATATGTCACGATCAGTAGGAATATATACAAAAAAATAAAACCCGATCTTACAGTTTACTAGCATACAGCTAGTAACTGATCTAGTTATTGTTATTGATGTTGATCCAGCTAGTTACTGACTACCGCAAAGATATGCAGTCCATCTAAAGAACTACCCAGTGATGTGGCTCTGCATCAATGCACTGCAGGTGCTCAAATACAGTGAAGCTGTGGCCTGCATAAATAGTCCCCTAGGCCATTAGAAGAAAGGAAAAGGTGCTTACGCCACTTCAATTCGGTATCGAAACTTAAATGAAAGTATTGTACTTATTAAAAGTTTTTGATGTTTTACTGTATGATAATACATGAACACAACATCCAATATTTATAACAAGAATTTTAAATCTGGTTAATCAGTAACACTGCTTAGAGACGCAGCTTTATGATATTCTTTAGCCGCTTGAAGAGAGTTCAGGAGTCGACTGTTCTAAAAAAAATCCGCTCAGATATGGAGTATGAGTAAGCGGTTTTGAAATGCAACGCTGGTACTGGATTGTCCCTCTACCTTTCACAGATGACATAACGATTTCAAACTGACGACAGGAATCATCAAAATAATTTCACGTACACTGTTAAGCAATTGTCTTATCTGGCTGCACTGCTAATAATTATCTCCTTAATATCATATTTTACCTATCGTGCTCCAATGGATCGTGGCAATTTTGGTTGAATATACTTTTATTCAACTCCAGTTTGTGACGCGATCCTACGTCCTATGCACAGCAGGCGCCTAAATCGGACGGAGCCGTGGCCTGCTTAAATGGCCCCCCTAGGCGTATAAAAGCAAGGGAGTGGTGCAACAGAGCTGCTGTGTATTTTCGCCGTTTCAATGCGGTATCAATATTTTTTATGTGAATTATCTCCTTAAGATGGTGAACCTCAATTTTGATTGCATACATCCAGACAACTAATTCTGCATTCAGCTAGAAGAGAGTTACGATGTACAAATGGCTTACGCATGTCAACGGCTGAAATTGCATTTTTCTAAATAATTATGAGTGATAACATTACAAGTACATGTGATCTTTCATCAAGGAGAATTGATCTGCCTCAGTCAAACGGCTTACGTTGAGACCTCAGCTAAGAAATACGGCCTTAAGTAAATCCACTGATGGGCTGAATCTGAACATGCCGCTGCACGCAGTTTACAGACATGGTCCATTGCCAACAGCAAACTAGTCCGCTCATTACAAAGATACTCTTCGCCGATTCCTTTCGCCCCTAGCTTCCTAAAATGACAAAAACGTTCCTTTCTCACACTTCGGGGCGTTTTAAATAGTTGTCAAATGAAACAAGATCCTGTAGTACCGCGAGTAAAGTGATAGCAACGAATTAGTGCACCGTTCTTAGGGAACCGTCTTCAAAGAAGTTTACGCACGCAAGTACGAAAATATAAAGTGAAGAAAGTATTTCCTGAAATGCAATAATTCGTCAGTTCTACGAACAACGACAAACAAAAGCTGCAAATAACTGTACCTGGAATGCGATCCTTTACACAAGCGAGAGCGGTAATCATCCACTTAGCCTGCGTTTCGGCGAATATAATCAAGTTCACGCCAGGCTTATGACCAAAAGTGATCAGTCCAGAGCTGATATGCTGAACCATCTCATCGACCTCTTCATAGGAATACCATATATACTTTCCAAGATTCATCTGAAAGCAGATATGCTTCGTTTGACTTAAGCGAAGGATACTCTCAATGCGAAACATGACAGAAACCGGCAATAATGTACAACAAAACCGCGTAACGGTGTTCGTGTATGTGGTACATTTTCCAAAATCTCTACTAAGTCATGCATTTTTCTATTTTTTTTACCTGAAAGCAAGTTCTCTGAGCTAATAAATCGCTGACTGACTAACTGATTAATTTCAAATTCAAGTTCCTCCCGACCTCCCCTTACCATATTGCTCAGGATGCGACAGGACTGTATATTCTATCTTCAC